CGTGGGGTTTAAAGGCGTTTGTAAGTCAAGGCTTTTGACAGCGCGTTGTTTTTATACCGTCTACCCAAGTGGGGGCAGGACAGGGGGATGATGCTGTCGTGGGGGGTTGATCGCTGCAGGTGGGGGGGGGGGGTTAAGGTTGCGGGGTTATAAATGGTATTTAGTGTGACATTTGGAGGGGTAGGCGTTGGGAGGACGGGGGAATAGAAAAGGAAAATCAGGTTGGGGTTTCAGGGGAGGGGGAAGGGGGTGTTAGTGATTTTTTGGGGGGAAAGGCAGCGGTTGGAAAAAGGGAAAAAAATAAAGGGGTATTACCGTCGGAGTGGGTGGGGGGATTGTATCCCATGTGCAAGTGCCAAAGGAGGGGGTTTAAAGTGGGGGAGATGGGTTGGGGCCCAGGTTGTTGAGGTTGACGGGATGTTAAAACCCCCAAGGATGATGGTGGGTAGCTCAGAGGACAGGAAAAAAAGGGGGTACCCAGGGGGATAAGTCTTCCAGGAAGCGGGATTTTTGGATCCGGGAGGGGGGTTTTTCACAGCAATTTCGGGGGGGTTTGGGGGGAAATTAGTTGGAGGGCAGTGGGCCTCGAAGGGGGAGAAGGTTTTGAGGGGGGGGGGTTTTGGGGGATGGGAAAGGTGCTTTTCGGTGACAGGGGCAGCCCAAACCCCACCACCTTTAAAACCTTTGGGCCGGGGGGGAGTGGGTCCGGTGAGACCTCCGTAGGGGAGTCCCAGTGGGGGGGTAGAGTCGGGGCCCTTTGGATCCATGGTTTTTTCCGAATTGTTTGGGGGTTGAGGGAGCGGGGAAAACAAAGAGGTCGTTTTTTTGGGGGGAAAGCTTGTTGCACACCGATCGGGCATTAGGGGTGAAATTTGAAATGGGGGGGGGTTTTTTTTAGGGAGAGGGGGACAGATACTAATTTGCCGGGGTTGGGGGCGGGACTTTGGAGGGGGGGGGTGTTGTGTGGGTGAGAGAGGTGGTGGGGGGGCCGGATTCAGAGAGATGTCCCCGCGGTTTAGGAGGTGGAGAGAGGGTGAGAAGGTGGCATGGAAGCAAGATTTGCAGGAGCGTGAGAAACTACTAGTGGAGGTGTCGGAGTCGCAGTGGGAGAGTGAGAGTAATAGAGAGGACGGCGTGGTGGGTGCCGTAGAGGGCGTGAACGGAAGCAGTGAGGACACAATATTACAATTGTGTTTGGGAAGGAGCAGAGGGATATAGTGGAATTGGATTTTTTGGAGAACGGTAGGAGAGGAAAATGGAGGAGGAGTGGAAGAAGCGTATTTCGGGGGAGGTGCCCCGGAGGGGCGGATAGGAGTGGTGGAGAGGCTTGGGTTTGTTCGATAGTCCAGCGGGCAGAGGCAGATAGTGCATTGTGGGGCACAGCAGTCGGAAACAGCCTGCCGAACGTCCGTACCTGTTCTCCCGTTGTTCACCGAACACATTCTGTTTGATTTTGCTAGTCGAACTTATGCACACTGCTACGCTTGATTACATTAAATGACAATTTATGTCCTTTTTCCCCCGCAACATATAGAGCTTTTCTTTCAGTGATATATTTGGATCAACTACTGTGAGTGTTTTTTCTTTTTTTGTGCTGATAAATGAAAAAAGACTGCCAATTTGAAAAAAATATAATTTTTGACTTTTTGCTACAAAAACATATCTAGTAAAAAAAAACTTTAAAAATCAAATTTTCGGTCAGTAAATTAAGGCCAAAATTGTATTCTGCTAACATTTATTTGCTAAAAACACAAATCGCAATGGCGTGTATATATTAATTTGGTGTACATGAAAAGTTATAGCTTCCACAAATGGCAGTATGAAATACTGGAATTTTATATATATTGTATAGTATATATATATGTATACAGTACCAGCACAGTTGTGGTTCAAAAATAATAGCATTGTCGTTGTAAAAAGTGAATAGAAAAGCCTCATAAATCCTTCTAATAGCTTTTATTTCCATACACACAAATGCATTGGGAACACTACACAAATTTATATTCCAAATCAAGTGGCAGTGAAGAAAAATTATAATCAAATTTGTGTTTGTTCTTCTAAAAAAAATGAAGTAAAAAGTGCAATATTAGACGTGTTTCCAAAAAATAGCAGTGTTTTTGTATTCTTCATTATGGCCACTCTTCCATAACGTCTATCTTGTTGTTTGTGGAAAACCAAGCTGTTGCAACGGTTTTTACTGGTGTGTTTTGGGTCGATGACTTGTGGGAACACACCCATTTCAAGGGCGATTTCCTCTTCAAGCATAATGCGAGCATGGACCACTTCAAAGTATTTCTGAGTGTATTCAAAGCTGATCCATTGATCCCTGGTATGCGATATAAATAGGCCCAACACCGTATTATGAGAAACATCCCCATATCATGATGCTTGCGCAACCATATGCTTCATTGTTCTTTTCACAGTGTACTGTGGCTTGAAATTCAGTGTTTGAGGGGGTTGTTCTGACAAACTGTCTCCGGCCACTAGACCCAAAAAGAACAATCGTACTTTCCATCAGTCCACAAAAAATTGTGTGCGCCATTTATCTCTTTAGGCCAGTCAATGTAATGTGCTCTTGGGGCAAATTGTAACCCCTTCAGCACGTATTTTTTTCTGACAGTGGGACGTTGGAGCCGGGGGCTTTCTTGCAGATTGCTTGGCTTCACATAGGCTGTCTTCTAATTTGGGTAAACAGTACTCACAGGGTAACTTTAAGACCTTTCTTTTGATCGGGTTTCCTCGGAGCAGATTGTTTGGCTGAGTCCTTGACCGGGCCATTTTTGGCTATTCTTTTCTAGTCCATTCGAATGGGTAATTTTTCGCTTTCTTCCACGTCTTTAGGTTTTTGGTTTGCCATTTTTAAAGCAGTTTGCGATCATTTTTGCTGAGCAATCTATCCCTTTTTCTTCCCTGCATTTCTGGTATATTTTTTTGTCCCCCCTCTCCAATCGACCAGTTTTAATCAAGGTACGCTGTGGCGTTGATTTTACATGAACAATTGTCTGAGAACGGACCCATTTTTCCTCAGGAATTTATCAGAGAGAAAGAAATGCACTGTAACCATGCATGTACAAACATTTGCTGCCTTCCTTCCTTAAATTAAGGGCATAATTGCCACCTGTTTTTCAAAGAATGAATGACCTCACTAATAGAACTCCACACTGCTAATTATTTTTGAAAACTTGCACCCTTTCAAATTAGTGATTCAATTACACAGAATCAGCAGCATGCATGTCATGACTGTTGGGGTCTGTTGGATTTCTATTACTCTACCTACACCTGCTAGTAAATTATGTGCCATGTAAAAATATAATTTCTACCAAAAACAGTGATTGATCAGGTTTAGTGATGTCTGACTGCTATTATTTTGAAACACAACTGTATTATATATATTTATACTAGTAATGGAGGTGATCATATAGATTTGGCATGTCCGAAGCCCGGGACTGCGGTGGGCATTCCGACACGGGGGGGGGGGGGGGGGGAAACTGATGACTAAACTTGCCAACTGACATCGCCCCAAAGGACACTAATAGCAGTGATCAGTGCTAAAAAAGCACTGACACTGTACTAATGAACACTGGGCAGGAAGGGGTTAACATCTGGGGCAATCAAAGGGTTAACTGTGTTGCTGTGTTTTACATAATGTGCTGTGTGTTGTATACTAGGGCAACATGCTCTGCTATGCAGAGAGAATACACAGCAGCATGTTACTGCTGGCAGGAGAGAGACCTGTGTTTTTTTACACACAGGTCTCTCCCCTGTCAGTGTTACTTGGCAATTGCTGGGTGCCAGTGGGGAATCTCCGGCCAGGACCCTGTGATTGACATCTGTAGCCACCAATGGCAGTGTGGGTGCCTGCCTCCTACCAGGAAATGCAAATCACGTTGGATATGTATGTGATTATGGGAGAAGCCCTGCCACCCATGTAGCAGTACTTCTATGGTTGGGTTTAATACCCAACAGCCCCACTTTGATAACTGATAGCCTGTTATCCATACACCAACTTGGAGCTGGTCGTAATTACCGTATTTTTCGCTCCATAAGACGCACTTTTTTCCCCCAAAAAAATTGGGGAAAATGTCTGTGCGTCTTATGGAGCTAATATGGGGACAGCCGGCCTGGTATTCCCCCTGTTGCAGCTGCTGTGTTAGAAATACCCCGGCCCAGCCGCTCGGCTCTTCTGTGGTCCAACGGTGTGTCCTCATCACTGCTGGTTTTCACCAACCGTCTTCTATCCCTGGGCACCGGCATCTTCAGTGTGGGCACCCAGCTGTGACAGCTTGGGGCTTCACAGCCGGGTGCCCACTGCGCATGTGCGAGAAGTGCTGAGAGCTTTGTGAATGGTCCCCATAGTCTTCTGGGACCTGTCATGTGTCCCAGAAGACTACAGGGAGGGAGGACAACTTCCGATCGCCTAGGCAATCGCAGCGGAAGTGGGAGCGGGTACCTGTCAAATTCAGGTCCCCCGCTCCACAAAGGTCTGCAGTTTTCTGATCATCTCCTGTACTGTGTTTTGCAGTCTTCGGTCATCATCCTTCCTGTACTGTGTCCGCAGTCTCTGGTCATCTCCTGTACTATGTCCGCAGTCTCTGGTCATCTCCTGTACTGTGTCCACAGTCTCTGGTCATCTCTTTTACTGTGTCCGCAGTCTCTGGTCATCTCCTGTACTATGTCCACAGTCTCTGCTCATCTCCTGTACTGTGTCCACAGTCTCTGGTCATTCCTGTACTATGTCCGCAGTCTTCTGGTCATCTCCTGTACTATGTCTGCAGTCTCTGGTCATCTCCTGTACTATGTCCGCAGTCTCTGGTCATCTCCTGTTACTATGTCTGCAGTCTCTGCTCATACTCCTGTACTATGTCTGCAAGTCTCTGGTCACCTCCTGTACTATGTCTGCAGTCTCTGGTCATCTCCTGGTACTATGTCCGCAGTCTCTGGCCATCTCCTGTACTATGTCCGCAGTCTCTGGTCATCTCGCTTACTATGTTTGCAGTCTGGGTCATCTCCTATACTATGTCCGCAGTCTCTGGTCATCTCCTGAACTATGTCTGCAGTCTCTGGTCATCTCCTGTACTATGTCCGCAGTCTCTGGTCATCTCCTGTAGTATGTCCGCAGTCTCTGGTCATTTTCCTGTACTATGTCCGCAGTCTTTGGTCATCTGTACTATGTCAGCAGTCTCTGGTCATCTCCTTGTACTATGTCCGCAGTCTCTGGTTCATCTTCCTGTACTATGTTCCGCAGTCTTTGGTCATCTCCTGTAGCATGTATGCAGTCTCTGGTCATCTCCTGTACTATGTCCGCAGTCTCTGGTCTTGTCCTGTACTATGTCCGCAGTCTCTGGTCATCTCCTGTACTATGTCAACGGTCTCTGGCCATCTCCTGTACTATGTCAGCGGTTCGGTCTCTGGTCATCCCCTGTAGTACATCTGCAGTCTCTGGTCATTCCTGCTGTACTATGTCTGCAGTCCATTGGTTCAGAATATTCTTTTTCTTGTTTTCCTCCTCTAAAAAGTAGGTGCGTCTTTTGGTCAGGTGCGTCTTATGGAGCGAAAAAAATATGGCACTTCCAGTTTCCTTATCTTTGTAATGGCAGTAATTCCTTTTGATTTTGTTGCAGCCAAAATTGACACATTGTAAGAGTGGTGCAAATAAGAACTACATGAATTTGACACACATTTTAGGAGTCTTGTGAAAACTGTCTCAAGGCTATGAATTAGGCATATGACTTATTAAAGGAACCATACAACTAGAAAAGTGTCACAAATGCTGTATTGAATTCCTCCATATGTCTCATTTTGCAAATGTAAGCAATTTACAAACACAAAACACGTATTAATGCTGGGCTGTTGCACCTAAAATTAAAAGCTTGTTAGAGGACCAAAAGCCTTTATATCCTGCAGGTGTCTAGACCAGTGGTCGGCAAGCCGCGGCTCGCGAGCCACATGGGGCTCTTTACCCAGTCTAATGCGGCTCTTCTGTGTGTGCCGGGCGCCTGCTCCCCTCCCTCCTCTCGGTCGGGGCCGCTCCCCTGCCTCCTCTCGGTTGGCAGCCCCAAAAGTCCGCGCGGACCTTTTAATCCGGCCTGCGCATGTGGCTGTCAGGATGTGTGTAGGCGGGGGCAGCGTGCCGAACGTGAGGGGAGGGGAGCTAGGCTCCCTCTCACAGTCCGCCCTGAAGACCCGAACGGCGCGGGAAGACAGCGAGAGGAACGCAAAAGGTAAGTGAATTGACACGGGGGACTTGGCTTACTAGAAGGGGGGGGGGGGGGAATAATAGTACTGTGGGGGATGAAAATACTATATGAGGGATGAAATACTATATGGGGGGATGAATACTATATGAGGGGATGAAATACTATATGAGGGATGAAATTACTATATGAGGGATGAATTACTATATGAGGGATGAAATACTATATGGGGGGATGAAATACTATATGGGGGGATGAAATACTATATAGGGATGAAAATATGAGGGATGAATTACTATATGAGGGATGAAATACTATATGGGGGGATGAAATACTATATGAGGGATGAAATACTATATGGGGGATGAATTACTATATGAGGGATGAATTACTTTATGAGGGATGAAATACTATATGGGGGGATGAAATACTAATATATGAGGGATGAAATACTATATGAGGGATGAAATACTATATGGGGGGATGAAATACTATATGAGGGATGAATTTACTATATGAGGGATGAAATACTATATGGGGGGATGAAAATACTATATGAGGGATGAAATACTATATGGGGGGATGAAATACTATATGAGGGATGAAATACTATATGGGGGGTATGAAATACTATATGAGGGATGAAATACTATATGAGGGATGAATTACTATATGGGGGATGAAATACTATATGAGGGTGATGAATTACTACTATATGAGGGATGGATTGAAATACTATATGGGGGATGAAATACTATACGGGGGATGAAATACTATACGAGGGATGAAAATACTATACGGGGGATGAATTGCTATGGGGGATGAATTACTATATGGGGGATGAATTACTATGGGGGATGAATTACTATATGGGGGATGAATTACTATGGGGGATGAATTACTATGGGGGATGAATTACACTATGGGGGATGAATTACACTACGGGGGATGAATTACTATATGGGGGATGAATTACTATGGGGGATGAATTACTATATGGGAGATGTATTTTCAGTTTTAAAAATGTGGCTCTCAAATAAATTTCAATCATGGTTTTGGCGAGATTTGGCTCAGTTGAAAAAAAAGGTTGCCCACCACTGGTCTAGACTAACTCAAGTTCAAATGCAGCATAATATAATAGTACCATCTTCCCTAGTCATTTACAGCTCCATTCGTTTGATAATTTGTTGTCTCACTGCTCATGGTTTCCCCTCTCTGGATCCTCTAACATAGGGGGTATTGAATTAAAATTCACCAAGGTCCGGGCAGTAAAATTTGCATGCATGAGAGGCCCTGAATCTCATGTAGGCCCCTGTGGTGCACTTTCGTGTGTGCCAAAACCGCGTGTTTGCTGCGGTTGTGATTTTGAAAAAATGGGACTTCTTCAGGTTTCTAGGCAGGTAGTGCTGACCTACCCAAAAACACGTACATTGTCAAATGCACATGTACAGATCTGAACCTGTTCTCACATCAGTGTGCTCACAATCCCCACTGCACATCACAGTCCCCTCCTCATTCACAGCAAGATCCCTCTTGATGAGTGTTTTCAGCTCCTCCTTTACATCACCCCCCTCCACCCCTTTCACAGTAGTGTTCTCACACTTCCTTGACATCAACCCCCTCCCCCCCAACAGTACTGTCCACTGCCTCCTTCACTGAAGAGTACTCTGCCCCTTTTTACATCATCCCCCATATTACTGTTCCCAGACACCCCATGTTACTGTCCTCAGCCTCCCCCATGTTACTGTTCCCAGACCCCCCCCCAACATGTTATTGTCCTCAGCGTCCCCCCCATGTTACTGTCCTCAGCCCCCTCCCACTTTAATGCCCTCAGCCCCCACACACCACATGTCCTTAGCCCCCCACAATTACTGTCCTCGGCCCCCCTTCACACTAATGTCCTTAGCCCTTTTGACTTTGCCCCCCTTCACTGTCCTACCTTACACAGACAGTGATTGATTGCTAGGACTTGTCTGCCCTTCATCCTAGCAACCAATCACCTGCTTGTTAACCTCAGGCAGCTCCCACCCACCGTCCAGAACTGTCCTGCCTCCCGCTGTCAGTTCTGGAGGAAGACTGTGAGACAGCTGGGGGAAGAAAAGGCTCTTAAATGGCAGGACTGCATAGGTCCAGATGGGACAGTGACTTAGACCTTATCCAGACCCCGGTCCACCATTTAGTTCTAGCAGCACAACAGCAGACAGATCAGGAGCTGGTCGCCCTGCAGTAACTCCGTCTGGAAGGTGTGCAGCCTGGAGCCTTATTCCTGAATTCAGTGACGTTCTCTCCAGCAGCAGCCAGCCAGATCCTCTTCTGCTTTCCTCCCTAATCTATAGCACACCCCACAGCCAGTAACTGTAACCACTCTATCCCCACGTGTGTTGTCCTCCTTGTATGGACTCTCAGTCATGTGGTAAGAATTTTGCAAGATATTTTTACAAATTCTAAAAGTCTCTGGGACTGCTTGTAGATTGCCTGATTTTTGCAGCTCTTTAATGGCTCTTACCGTTTTCTAAATCTGGACGCATAGTCTCAGTCTCAGCTTTTTGTTTACTTAAAGTGGTTGTAAACCTCAGACATGAAATAAGAACACAAGCATATTCCTCAATAGTGTGTACTTGTCTCAATGGCAGAGCACTGAGTGTTATTTCTCTCTGCTGCCTTGTTCCTCTGCTATCAGCATGAATCACTTCTGATGAGTTTTCCTGACACCAAAGAGAAAAAAAATTATGTCAGGGAGGGGATGCTCCAGCTGATTGACAGCCTCAGCTCTGTTCCTGTGTGCTGTGTGAAGGGGGGTGTGTCCCTTCCCTCCAATCATCTCTCAGAACTCTCCTCACTGATTTGACTTCAGCTCTCTCCACCCCCTGCTTTTCTGATCCTGTGTAAAATCTGCACTTTGAATGGCTGTGGGGGAAAGATGGCTATAAATATTACAGGTGTAATTAACCACTTGCCCTCCTGAGGATTTACCCCTCTTCCTGACCAGGCCATTTTTTTGCGTTACTGTGCTGCATTACTTTATCTGACAATTGTGCTATCATGCAATGCTACACCCAAATGAAAAGTTTTTTTTGGTGGTATTTGATCGCCTGTGTGTTTTTTTATTTATTTGCACTATAAAAAAAAGATGATAATTTTGAGAAAAAAAACAAATATTTTGGACTTTTTTGCTATAAAAACATGTCCAGTAAAAACATTTAAAAAAATCAAATTTCGTCATAAATTTAGGCCAAAATGTATTCTACGACATGTCTTTGCTAAAAAAAATACCCCAATACGTGTAAATTAATTGGTTTACGTGAAAGTTATAGTGTCTACAAATGGTGGTATATACTGGTATTTTTTAATTTTTTTAAATCTTTACTAGTAATGGCAGTGATCAGCAACTTATAGCGGGGCTGTGGGACTGCATCGGGGCATTCTGACAAAATGGGGGGAAACTGACATGATTCATGTCACTGACATCCCCAGTGACACCAATAACAGTGATCAGTGCTAAAAATAAAGCACTGACACTGCACTAATGACACTAGGGCAGAAGGGGTTAACATTTGCAGGGGATGATCAAAGAGTTAACTGTGTGCAGGGAGTGTTTTACTAGGGGGCGGTGTCTGTGTGCTTTCACTGTAAGCACACTGCTTTGGATGGCTGTGCTGTGCACAGCCATCCAGAGCAGTGTG